ATGTCTCCATTTAAAATTTATTAAATTATTTAAAACCGATAAGGAGGTTTAGAAATAATATATAGATAGTGATGTTTTTGTTTGCTTGGGGCTGTTTCAAACGTACATTTTCTCTACAGAGTTGAATTAAGGTTTGGTGGATACGCAGAATTCCAAGCAGTGAGCTCTAAGATTATGGTTGGACATGAAACACAAAAGGAAGAAGTCTCATAAAGAAGAGCGTAAGCATCATAAGCATCGCAAAAAATCTAGAAGGGGGCACCTTGACAAATTGCCCAGGTCTGATCGGAAAAGAGGAAAGAAATTTGAACAAAACAAAAGATTACTACATCTAGCTATGGCCTCTGGATTTCAAGGTGAGAATCTTCCTCTATTTGGGAGTAAATCTAAATTAAGACCTGAATTTTAAATTCTCACCAATTTATACTTTTGCAGCCACATCATCAGGATCGTCTACGCAATGCATTGATCTTGATGATGACATAATGGTAGTCTATGATAAAAATCAAGAAGCAACCCAAAGAGAAAAAAATACTAATAGACCAAAAGAAAGCAAATTTTGTCTGACTAAACCATTCGATGTTAAACCTTTAGATATACCCTTACCTCCGGAAAATTGGGTTTCTCATTCCAAGCGACATACTGATTCTATCAGATTACAAGATATTCCACTCCCTCCCACTCCAAATACTTACGAAAGATTACGGAGAGAAAGTGAAAATGACGAAGATTATGAAGGTATGGTGATCAGGAGATGAATCAGCAACCGCAATTTCTGGATATATCTCACAACTAGATATTTTGTATTGCTTTGTATTTTATATTCCTCCAGCAAAGCAACAGAAAAGGCTTTTAATGGACATTCGGAAATGGGAACCCTCAGAATTTGGGGATAAACTGCAGCATCAAGGTAGTACCTGTATTTTAATTTATTCTGTATGTTCACATTAGTATTGCATATTTACATTGCATATTTCCTCATTATCTATTTATTTTCCAGCTGGAAATTCTTCGAAACCATTAAATAATTCTTTTAGTATTATGTCCTACAACGTGTTAGCTCAAAGTCTATTGGAGGAACATAGTCATCTCTATCGACGTAATGATGAACGGGCACTTGAATGGAAAGTTCGGAGCAAAGTTCTTTGGAAAGAAATTATTGAAGCAGATGCTGATGTAAGTATTGTTTACAGATGACATAGTTTATGTCTTTCTCCTGGACTTTATTAATTTCTTTTCTTCTCTTAGATTTTATGTCTTCAAGAAGTGCAAGCTAGTCATATTGATTCCTTCTACAGCAAGTTAAAGGATTTAGGTGTGTGTACATTAGAGCAGATACTTCTTATTTATTTTTTTGTCTAAAATGCCCTTTGTTAACCATTTGTTTCCTATTCCCAGGCTATTCAGGAAAGTTTAAACAAAGGTCTACAAGCAATTATGATGGTTGTGCCATTTATTTCAAAACAGACAAGTTTAAACTTATTGATATGGCCCCAGTAGAATATTACCAATACTACAAACCTGGTCTTTCCATTCTAGACCGTTATAATATTGCAATAATTGTACGATTGGGTTTATGTGGATCACATGGTAATGTTATTTAAATGCAAAAGTGTCACCATATGCATTTAAATTCTTATAATATAATCTTTCCTTTGCAACTGTAATGTTGATATGCACTGTCCTGGAAATTCCAGATTCTGATGATCAAATAGTTGTAGCCACCACTCATCTTTTGTACAATCCAAGGCGACATGATGTGAAACTTGCTCAAACTCAAGTACTCTTAGCAGAATTAGACCGGTTGGCCTACATTGGCCTAGATAAAGAGTATGTAGCCATATCTTTTCCATATCTAGGTACTACTATCCTTTCATGTGAGTCAGCTTTCTTATTTGCAACATTTTGCTTCAGGTCTGGAAAACCCAAATATCTCCCTGTAATAGTTACTGGAGATTTTAATCTTAAACCCAATACCCCAGTTTACAACCTATTAGTTCAAGGAAATTTACGTTATTCTGGCTTAGCTGCAAAATCTCTTGCTGAACCGTGTTATGGGCAAGCTCTTCAAGAGGTTTTACTTCCTTTTGAGCTGCAAATTGCAAATTCCTGCCAACACTTAGGTTTGTTGCTGCACCGATTGAAACTAGAAAATAATGGTTCAAGAAAGGAGAAGGTACACATATCTGAGGTTTCAAAGGTCTGTGTCATCAAATTAAATGCTGTTCCCAATTCTAATTGTATCTTCTGGAAACCGTAATTTGTTTTCTTTTAAATTTACAGCTGTACAATAGTGAAACCTATAAATCATATCAAAGCTATACTCTTAAACAGTCTACAATACCGCTTCTGTATGAAGAGGATTTTTGTGGGAGGTCAGCCTTTTAAATTGTAAAGTGTTGTGCAAATAAATTGCAGGAGCCTTTTTACTGTAATATTAATTTGATTTCCAGGGTTGAGAAAGGATTCCTATTTCACAGATTTTACTTTCAGAGTGTTTATAAACATAATAAATGCCTTTCCTCAAAATGGATTTGTGAAGCTACTACTTTCCAGGAAGACTGGGTAACAGTAGACTACATTTTTTATAGGTATGTAGAATATTTTATAGTTATTTAGAATATTGTAAATAACTTGCTTGGAGTATTTACTCCCTGCAAACTATTTTATAAAAGAAGAACTTGTCCATTATTTTTTTCCCTTTTATCTTTACTGTTTCAGTGGAGCGTTGAATAAACAAACCCAGCAAGTTGAAGAGGGTAGACTAAAACTTTTGTCCAGTTATTCTCTTCCCAGCAGGGGGCAATGTAATGAGCTTAAATCAATACCAAACCTTGTTTGTGGCTCAGACCATTTCAGTCTAATGGCTCGTTTTGTTTTAGAAAGAGATCAATCTCATGAACATAAACTGTGACTTATATTTCCATCTGTTTTGTCTGATCATTCGTCAGTTTTTATTTTTTTCTGTTCAGTATATTAGTTTTAGTTTAAAAACAAAAACAAAAACAACTCCTTGTACTGTTGAAAATGTGATATTTGTACCTTAGTTGTGGCTGTTACAAGACAAGTGCCAAAGTCTCTTTGTTGAAACCATTACTACATCCTCAACTATTTTTCTACTGTTCTTTCTTTTTAAAGTATTATGGACTGCATAATGTTTCAATAAATGTGTCCATGCTATGGTGATACTATATATAGATGTAAAAATTCAATATCATTGTCCATGTAGTTTAATCTACGCTATATTTCCTTGCATTGTTGTCAATCAGTACTCTTTTCTCCTGTTGTAAGATATTGTGTAGAAATTAAACTTTTCAATTTGTGCCTTGGCATGGCTAGCCAAGATATTGTTTAAGTTTGGAAGGTATATATCTTCAAAATATAACTTTTTGAATGAATGTGCAACTTTTTCTTCTCACTTTTCATACATTTAGCTTAAAGTTCTTTCCTCAGTTGCTATTTTTATATTCACACAACTTCCCAAAGCATGAAAATTTACATCATTTTGTGGTCTGTATTGATGCCTCCGGTGGCCACTTTCTCGGGGAAGTCCACATCAAACTCTTTTACACGTTGGGACACACTATTGATTATTGAATACCACCAAACTTTCTGCTTGGTAGTGCAGAGCAACAAGCACAGTTTAGATCGTCACAACTGTGCCCGCCCACTTATTTAAAACGGAACACCGATATCATTTTAACAACTTGCGCTAATGCTCTTGTAGGCGTTGCTCGTCAACGACCACCAGTAAATCCGAAAGCGCAGCAATTAGTCCGACCCTACTACTTGAATCGAAAAAGAATCGGCCATCACAGTTGGAGTTCCCTGGGTACCTATTTAAATCAGATTTGGGTTTTTGCACTTTGCTCTTGTGCTAATCCCCACATTGCCCCTGCGATATCTGCGAAGCAGACGACGTCGTACGGGGTCATATACCAATACAGTCACGCAATGACCATTTTTGAAACCGAAAGAAGAGTACATAGAAACCTATTTCAAAGTCTATTTTGCAGTCATGTCAGGAAAGAGGCTTTAATGCGATTTGACAGCATATATATCAACTTAATACAACGGCCTGTAGCATACTTGAGTTTTGAGGGTCATTGAAATTGACCACTGTCAGAGGACGTAAATGGAAAGCCCCCAAGAAAAAGAAACATTCAACGAACCACACTGGTACTCAGACTGCAGCTGAGGAGTTTGAAAATATTATTTAGACAGTTAAAACTTGTTTTGCTCTACCAGGGCAATTTAAATTTACTTAAATGGTAAGTCAAGGCTCTCAATCCGTATGTAACCCTGGTTATTGAGGGGTACAGCAGTACAGGTTGGATTGTTTTGCAAGGTTCGGATAGCAGAAACGTTCTCAACAGCAATAAACGACCTCACGAATATTTTCTGAAACACGGTTTACGCCTGTTGTATATTTCTTAGATGTAAGTGTGATTATTGAATCTTTTAAATCTGCTTCTTCTTATATGTTTTGAACTTCGTTTCAGGGGAATGAATCGTCCCTACCTATGGAGCTATGCTCCAACTGTAAGTACTGAAGATTTTTTCTTGACATATGCCAATCTTTTTGAGTTTCATATTTCCTCCAACGTTGTCTTTTTGTTACTTACGTGCTGTTTTCTCGTCGATCTTTCTGTTTTGTACCTCCTGTCATGCGTTCGACCATGTTCAATGTCTCCCTTTTGGAGGTTATGTGACTCTTATTTCGCAGTCGTCTGCTACAGACCTGTAAAGTGATTTTGCTTGTTCATAGTTGTATATTTAAGTTACACTTCAGATAGTGTGCATCGATCGCGAGCCACGAATGACATCTGTTCTACCATTGTGACTTATTACGAACCGAAATTTTAAACTCTGTCATTTATTTTAGAGTTGTTGAAGCAATATTGTCATCACTGTGCTCAACCTATGTCTAATTTCATTTACAAAATGATGTGACACCTGTGATTTGTTGAGAATATGTCATTTAACTCCTCCTTCATTCTTATTTTATAATTGTGTAATAATCACATGTCTGACTCTACCACTCTTTGCACAGTGTTATTGATTGGTTTATATTTGAAATATTTAATTCTTCAGCCTATTTTATTCATTTTGGATCCATATTGTGAGAGTTTTGTTTGAAGTTGGCCAAGTAGTCTAGTTCTTGCTCTTGGCTCTGTTCCAGGATGTTGGTGTATGAAGGAACTTAATTATTTGGCACTGTCCTCCTCTCTGTTGTGATGTATATTACTTTTGTATTTCAGGTGACTAATTTACTGACCCTCTTTCATTTCTACAGTTGATGCAGATGAAATTCGGAGGCTAGGAAAACGCTTCCGGAAGTTGGATTTGGATAATTCAGGAGCATTAAGCATTGATGAATTTATGAGCCTCCCAGAGCTACAACAAAATCCTTTAGTGCAACGTGTAATTGATATTTTTGATGCAGACGGTAATGGTGAAGTGGATTTTAAAGGTATGCCAATAACACTTGTTTAACCTGAAACCTCACATGTTCCCCTGATCCTCCTTTCTTTAAAATGTGTTGCCTCCTTCACAGAATTCATTCATGGTGTGTCACAATTCAGTGTGAAGGGTGATAAACAGTCAAAACTCAAGTTTGCATTCAGAATTTATGATATGGATAATGATGGTTTCATTTCGAATGGTGAACTCTTCCAGGTAAGAAAGGTTTTCTGTTAAACCCTATATGACTCTGCAGTGTTGTTAATTCTCATATCAATTGTCTATTGTCGTCAGGTACTCAAAATGATGGTTGGCAATAACCTGAAAGATACTCAGTTGCAACAGATTGTTGATAAAACAATCCTGTTTGCGGATAAAGATGAAGATGGAAAAATATCTTTTGAGGAGTTTTGTGCTGTAAGTTTTCTTTCTCTATCTGTCAAATGACCTACTCTAATTTGAAATTTTTGGTTATTGAAACTTAATTTTGTAGCACATCCTAACAATTTATTTTCAAATTTCAGGTTGTTGGGAACACAGACATTCATAAAAAGATGGTTGTTGACGTTTAGTCTGTGGTTGACTCACTCGCTTGGCTTGCCAGCTCACAAGCAAAGACTCTTGTTTATTTTGGGTTTATATTTTGTTGTGTTGGTGGACCTTCACAGACTGTGTGTGGGTGTGTCCCTGTTTTAACCATATATGCTACCTACCTACAGAACTAAGCACCAATATTGAGGTATAACATATAACATTTATTAATACATTTTCATCTTGTCGTTTCGACCATCTCATCTCATCGCATCCCGCCTCGTCTCATCACCTCGTTGTGTGCTGTACTTAATCTGCTCCAACTTAACCTCCTGAGTTTTCTCTTCCTCCCTCTGTCAATATTTACTGCGTGAATTAGACTACAAACACACTTATAGGCGCCTGTGGTTGTTCTCTTGAAATTATTCCTAAGAATATTGTTAAAATCTTGTTTATAAGAAAAAATTGTTGTTATTTGTAAAAAAAAAAATCACAATTTAATGTTTCTCTTATGTCTGTTTCAAGTTAACTAATGATAATGTTTATGGTAAACTCATTTATAGCCTTTGGAACTTTCTAATTTTTCACCTTGTTCTCAGCACATTTGGGTGGATGAAACCTCCTTGTCTTTTATTGTAGTTTAGAATTTTGTATTTAAAGTGGTGCAGGTATTGGTAACTCACATTGACCTATGTTTTCCTCTGCAATATCTTCTTGCATTGAAAAGTACTGCTGAAGAAATTTGTTTTATCTATCTATCAAACAATGGTTAGTGTTGCCTCATGATATTTTCCTAGTGAAGGATATGTCACGAGAGGGTTAAATATTTTCATGTATAATTGGTAAATCTTGGTTTTTATACTGTGCAAAATCAGCAGTCTTTATCTTGCATTATTGTGATAAAAGATCAAATACATTGTGATTTGCATATAATGGCATAAAAACAATGCCTATAACTACTTAACCCGACTCAGACATAAAAGAAATAACCTTGGAACAGCTCATGGTGCTATATAGTTGTGCTGCGTTGTGCACGCGTGTAACATGTGTTGTTCTTGCCAGAAATGGTTCTCCAGGCCCTCATTGCGTCGAGACATTGCCTGCTCTGGACTGTTGTTTATCCATCAGCTTGCCAACTGCAGTCGTCAGACACAGGGAGATGTAATTGCATTTTATAAAAGTGTTCCTTTTAGAGCTTTGAAGCATTGATCCTATCATTGTTATAATTTTTTTAAATAAAAAGAAACTTGTTTTAATCATGTGGGAATGTAGTAAAATTCTCTCTCCTAAATTTCTTGAAGTGATATAAAAAAATGCACATACAACTAACTGTCATAGCCTGCAGCTTCATTTTCTTGCGGGTAGCTTTTGCTACATACATATTCTCTTCTTGTGATATGTTTCTAGTATTGAAGAATAATGTTTTCACCCTACGGCCAAATCACTCATTCTTCTTCATAGTATAATTCTTAACTTGCCTGAATTCTTGTATATGAGCAGCCAATAATATGACCCTGATAAGTCCACTTAAGTAGGTAGCTAGGAGTTATAAACTTTTACATATGTACAGTGATACAACTGTGTCATTTACTTATGAGGTTGCTGAGGGAACTTTGTGCTATATATGCTGTTGTGTATTTGATTTGTGCAATTTGTTGAGATGAAACCAATATATTTATTGTGTGGATGGTCTCCTATTTTCTTCATAGTTCAGCAGTTTATTTTTCTCAAGCTTTCAAATGATAAGTAAATTGCTGATGTTTCAGTGTTCCTGTGCAGTCCACATACTTAGCTTCCTGGATTTCCCATAGCACCTCTCAAAGGCAGGAAAATCTGCCCCAGTTTCTTCAAAGAACCTCAAACTATTGCACAAATCTTATAAAGCAACATGTGTATAT